TCAGCAGCTTCACCTGAGCAAGTCTCTTTGTGATCATCGTAGCAAAAACCAGCCCAAAGAGAACGCTGCTTATCAGCACGTAGTCATAGTCGTCTTTTAGGACGTCAAACTGCTTCGATGGGTACACTCGGGTCTGGTAGATGTCCAGGCCATACGCAACAACCTAAAGAGATGAGATGAGGAGCTGGTAATGCAGCTTTCAGCAGAAAACCAGACACTTCAGAAATGACTGATGGAAAGAGATGTTTAAGCAGCGAGCAGGCAGATGATAGGAGGTTACACGCTACGGTATTGGACTGCTCTACCCGCAAACCCCATGGCCCTCCGTCAAATCCGCCACCCTGTACTCACCAGACAAGTGGACTCCAGGCCGGAGGGGGCCGTATAAATCCCTCTCATTCGGGATATGGTTTGATTGTAGTTGATAAACCTCTCAGCATGGATTTGTACATCAGGGGAGTATGGAATCAGGTTCTCTTCTCTGAAAAGCATTTAAAAAGGAATCAAAACCCAATCAAACAGCACACGAAGGATATCGTCTGCGTTTCCTTGTCTGATCATCACAAACTGACCTAAACCAGCAAATTTAGCAGCTTTTCCCGGTGCAGATTCATTTTTGCTGCAGGATGAAAAATCAGCTGGGTCAGACCACACTGCAGCACCCTCCTTTTAGGCTTCTAAAGTTTGAAAAATAAGTGTCACGCTAAAAACTTCAGAGTTACTCAGACTGCTACTTCTTAGATTGCAGACAAGAGGCTGGTTTTGCCAACAATAAGACTTGCTGCATTATAGATAAATTTATTCCGTCATTAGACTGGGAACAAAGCAGCTTCACTTAATTTCATGCAAGAATTGCCCTCAATCTGTCTAAGCCAAGTTGTTCTACTTCACATTACCATATTATACCCAAAATCCATCCCTCCTCCAAGCTGCCCGGGAACAGCGGTTGTCACGCTCTCCTTACCTGCTTTGTTCCGTAGGGATCTCTGGGCGGCGAGGATCCAGCAGAGCCTTTGGAAGAGAGAGGATGGCCCCGGAGGGAAGCCCAACTGTGCATGAGAAGAAATGCATCTTAAAAACGGCCACTTCTGACAGCATTTTCTAACAGCTAACAGAAATGTTCTCTTGCTGCTTATCCTTGAACTTGCTGCGAGTCCAGGGCAGCCCACAGACAGGATTTTTGGCAGTAAACTGCATTTTGCTTGATGTTCAGCATAAACACGTTTAGAACTGAGCAGCATGTACTTACTGAGCAAGTGACGGCTGGTGATGCCGCGCTCGGTGATGGTGGCCTCCATGGCACTGATAGCAGATGGGAAGATGTAAGATTGCTGGAGGACCTGAGGTAAAATCGGGCGGTCGAGGGAGCTGAAGGCTGTGGCGTTGTATTGCTCCGTCCCCTCGTATAGCTCCAACACAGTGAACTCGTTCCGCCGTGCCTTTGTGTTCCAGTACTGGTACTGAAACGAGAGAAGATTTTTAAGAATACAGGGCAAGCAGAGTCGATAATACAGAAGTAGGAGGAAATTACACACAATGGTCAAAAAGTCTTCTCCGTGCAAGTTTGGCAACTGCCCCTACCTCCCAAAAGTAAAGAACACGATACAAATAACTTCTTACCACCACCCAGTTCTCTGAATGGACGATGTGGACAGGTCCCTTCGCTTTCTTCTGTACCGATGAGTGGATGATCCTGCCTGTGACTCCATCAATCAGATATAGTCCAATGAAAGTGCGCTCATGATGCGTATCTGTGCTCTCCGTTACCACAGCAAGCAGGTTTGGGTTCAAGGACTAGAGGAAAAGAAAAAAAAAAAACCCCACAAGTGAGACCCCCCCACACCTTAGTGCCACGGGCACCTTGCTTATCTGCATTTCGTCTGGGACGAGGCATATAATAAACAAAGTATCTTATTAGCACAAATCACCTGAAGAAATCAAGCAGCTATTTCCCCATCAGTAGATGTTTGACTGAGTTAATTGCTGCATGAAAACATTTTATAAAAGAAATCTCCACCAAAATTAGCACCTTCTGCAGAGGGTTATGGACACTGCTGCGTATATAGAAAAAAAATGGCACCACAGAGCAATTAATCTGAACGTAGCGCCTAGAAATGGTGCTGAGATCTTCCTGTGAGATAACGCATCAACAAAAAGTCAACAAAAAGTTCCTGCGGCACCTTGTAGAGAACACTGCGGTCTCCCATCACGCGGCCCTGGGAGTGCACGTGCTCGTTGGACCTCTTCCCTTTCACAGTCACTATCCTCTGGACTTCGGTGGGTATGACCACCTCCCAACTCTCCTCTGTTGTCAGGTCCTGCAAGAAAAAAACCCCATGACATGGGAGGTTTTATCTTGTCCTCAAAAGCCACCATCTCCACCAATAAGATGCAGGGAGCTCTCTCTGCTTTTGAATTTTAAAAGTTTTAGGTACATTTTGAGGCTGAACTGTTTCTATTCTGAGCAAAACTCCGTAAATCAAATGAAGAGCTCTACTGTGATCCAGAGGACGTTTAGGAAAATGATGTCACTTGGACTATAATGAGTCTTCCATACCTTTTTCAGCCTAAATCCAGAGAGTTTTCCCTGCTCAGCATCCACTAGATAAAAAAAGATAGTATGGGCTATTTCTTCTAACTGGCGAAGAACATTTTTAGTTGCTGGAAAAGCTGTAACCTGGAAAAGAATTGAAACGCAGGTTAAAAACCAACTGGCACACAAAAGAAAAAAAAACAACCAGCAAATAACCCATCACAGAAAGATTATTTCAAACATGTGTACCAGAATGAGGTCTGTCTTACCAGAATAACCTCATAGTTTTGTGTGAAATGTGACTCAACGGCTTTTTTTTTTTTTTTTTTTTTTAAATCTTCCTCCAAAAGGGAGGGGAATAGTTAACTAGAACATGAAGAAAACTGCCTCCAGGCAAAAGCAATTTACCTTGTACTCATCATCGATCAAGAGTAGTACTTTGGCATAGTCTTGATCCATAATAGGCAGAAGCAAAGTCTGAAAAATCGGACGCTTCAGAACAGGGGGAGCTACTTGACTTCTTTTCCCAAAGATGGGGTTAAAGACATACAGAAAGCTCATTTTAGTTTCCTGAAAAACAAAAAAAGATGCAAAACTTTTTCTAAGGCAGACAAAAGAGCTGGTTTTCTACTTGTTACCTGCTGGTGTCAACTATTCATACCCTGGATTCAACTATTCCATCCTCAAAATGTTCTTTTCGGACACACATATACTCTGTCACACATTTCTCTGTCAGAACCATACTGTGACATAACGGCTTTAACTAAATCCTATCTGCCACCGCTGAGGCAGTCTCAGTACATAATGACGTCTCCTCCTCCCTCACATATGGAGTACAAAACCTCCGCAGCTAGCTAAAGGACAGCACACATGACTTCTCTCACACAACCAAAGAAACTGGATTAAATCCTTTCTTTTGTTTCAATAAAAGACTTCAAAAGGGACTCACCTTGTCCTTAACAAGCAAAGTACATTGTGGGGGGTGTGGGAAATGGGCTGTTGTTCTTTGGACCATCAGCTTAAAGGAGGAGCCTGGTCTCACGTTCCTGAGATACTGCTTCCACAGGATGGTGCCAGAACTGCTTTCAATACCAAAAAGCTGAGCAGAGAGACACAGTAAAGCCAAAGTTTAGAACACCACATCTCGTATTCAAGCACTGCATCTTTCTTTGGGACACAACAAAGACGGCAGTCTTGGTGCCTCTCCAAAGCTACCACGACATTCTACCCAAAGCCTGCCTAAAAGCAGGAGCGGGAATTCAGAGCTGAGACTTTGCTACAGTCTAGAAACAGATTCCTACCCTGGCTTCCTCACCTTTCCCGAAGCAGTGACCATCACCATCATTTTCTGGAGGTTGAATTCATCTCTGGCCAAATTGTCAATGTTAATCTCATTTTTAATCTGGCTCCGAGGTTTCCGGGCATCATAGAACATCTTCCAAAGATGGGCAGTCCAGGCTTGCAGCAGGATAAGTTGGGAGGACAGCCGCTTCAGAAACATCCCCAGCAAACCATCTGCAAATAGACCAACAGTGATAACAAGAGGGAAGAAAATAGTACGTCCCACTCCGTAATTGCAATTATGGTCTCAGCCAGTAGAAGAAATGCTGCCATGCATGAACCTATGATAATTCTTCACCTCCCACTCCAGCACAGCAGTTACAGGCATTGTTTCTATGCTAGACCCTGGCATTTACTAACCTTTTCCCACTTCTCACTCCAAAAGATGCTCCCATCAACTGAAAGCAAGCCTTCTTGCAGACTATTTAATCTCTTCCTCTGTATTCCTTCCTTCTCACTGGTACAGTTGCAGCAAGTGCCCAGTAAAGCCTACCCACCTGTAAGGTCTATATCTCCCTCTGCACTCATTACTTGGAGCAAGAGAAGCTCCTGATTAAAAAAAAAAAATAATACTTAATTCTGCCCAATCAGGGTTTATATTTAGCTTCTTGAAATAAGCAAAACGCCAGACTTCAACTATATTTCACCGCTGCGGAAAGCAAGCAGAGAGGAGATCAAGTTCCACTAGGAAGCGTTAGTCAGAAGTATCAGACGACACTGCATGCAGGCTGAGGTTACCTTGAATGGCTGCATCCAGGACAGCGAGAAAAAACAAAACAAAGCAAAAAAAAAAAAAAAAGCTATTGCAAACGAGTCTTCCAGAAAGGGTCAAAGGGAAACATTTAGGAGAGATGGCCAAAATTCCCCCTACCGCTGCTAGTTTTTGAACATAACAATGTAATACGCTCATGCCATCTGCATTTGGCACTGGACTTAAAAAGTTTAGACGGAAATGGGTTTCCTTCTGCTCATTTTAATTGCCATCAGTAGAAATTTGAAGCATAACTCTCAGCTCAGATGAAAATGAAAACAATAAATACATTTTTTCAGGAAGAAAACCAAACAAACTCACATGCCAAAACGTAATCCTATTAAGTCTACGGTTTACCTGCTTTCTTTCCAAACTCTCCCTCCAACTCAGCCTGTGCACCTGTCAGAGGTAGATCCACCATCTCCAAGCTTACCACTTCTGCTAGTGACTCCTCTCGACTCCATACAACTTTTCCTGGAAAGAAAAATGAGTAGAATATTGGAAAAATCTGGGAATAAACTTCTGGAGGAAAAAAATCATCACTTAGTATAGAAGCATCTTCTAGCGGGCCCTTCAAATGCAAATCAATGTTCTTAATGAAACACGAAATAGTGTCTGTCTATCTATCTATCATCGCGTGATTAGCTATTTCATAAAACACAAACACTTCTGTGCAACTGGAGCCACTGTTGAAGAAAAACCCACAGAAACAGTAAAAGCAATCTGATCTTTTAAAAGGGTTACAGTCATTAAGTCTAGTTAAAGTAAGAGATACACAGTGCGAACACCCGGATGCCTTTTAAACCCTAGAAAATTCATGTCCCTGAGATGGACTTCCAACTCTTTCAGCAAATTAACATTTTTGCCACAAGGATTTTTTCTGAAGAAACTTTGAGGAAGATCTCCAACAGGACGTAAGACTCTTATCCTACAGAAAGTTTTGAAATCTGCAGAAAGCCTATGAAATCCAAAGGCTCTGTCTGCACAAAGAACGCTGCAGAACCATTTTCTCAGATGAAATATCTTGCGAGGGTGAGAAAATCTTCAATATCTTTTATGGAACAGTTAAAATTTATTTTGCCAGTTTCCAGAGAAAACAATGACAAAATATAATCATTTGGGACTTGGAATTTCCTTCCTGTCCTACAGCGACAAGGTGTCCACTGATAAAATTGTTGTAGGTTAGCTGTTGGCCAGTTACCTGGCTGCTGGAGGAACATTAGCATGTGGTCTTCTGTTTGCACTAAGGCTCGATAGCCCACGGAGTCATCCTTCTTCAGGAAAACCTGGATGTATAGCTGGAAAAAAAGAGCAAGCAAAATGGTGAGGTTAATGATCACATCATCTCCTTGGAGAAAATGGAACTCTTGGTTGAAACAAGAGCAAACAGCGTCACTGTATGCGGTAATCCCGCGTGTCGGCAGAATGCTTTTCACTGTGTCTGAAGGGCTCTACCAACCCTGCCAAATCAGGGTAGGGAGGGTATTGCAAGTCTGATACACCACAGGACTGAAATAATCACTCCCTGCTCACCTGCTGTGGCTTGGCACCGCTCTGCTCCAGGTTAAAGGTAATTGTAGTATCCAACAATCTTTGTCCAGTTTCAACCAGGTAGAGATTAATATTGTAAGTTTGATTGGAACAGGTTAAGGATTCCTAGAGCAACAAGGAGAAAATAGCCGAGTTATACATACATGCCGCACCAAATTCTGCAAAAGGATTTCATATTCAGTAAGAACTGTGGCTTCTAGGTATTTTTAGATTATATATATGGAGCTGCTACAAAACATCGGTCTCCAAAAAGACGGTGCAACACTTTTTTCATTCTGTTCCTGCTGGCAAAGGAATAAAATGGACTGTCGAGAACTTCTACTGTTCTTGAGAAAAAGTGCACTTCATACCTGCTTCCGGGAATCCTCCAGAGTACTTCCAGCAAGAAGGCCATCAGAACTTCCAGGTTTCTGAAATGAGGATGAGAAAAGATAACATGGCTGCAGACCCCAACAAAAGTACATAAAAAATTAGGGTTTTGAGTGCCTGACAAGTCTCAGCTTGACTCTGAAAAAAGGCGGGAAACAGTTCTATTTCTGATAAAAAAGAAAACTTACTAAGTTCAGTATCCCCAAGAACTCAAATCCTCTCTAGATCAGTAAAGTAGCCTACTTCCTAGGCTACGTGCCCACCTAACACAAGGCTGAAACACAGGACAGCGCACTTCACCAACCAAAGATAGCCTTAGCTGGATGTAATCAAGATCTGCTTGCATTACCATTGTCTTTGTATGTCTGCGAAGCTAATTAAATCTTCCTCAAGTTAATACCCATCCCTGGGCCTGTGAAGGAAAACACTTGTGGAACCCAGCCCCAGTCCATACCCATACTAGAGCCGTGCTGGTTACATGGTACAGGCAAATTGTACTCACCAGTTCGCTCCTGCAGGTCAGGACAGCTGCTACAGTTTTCTCCCCAGTTGTTGCAAAACTCACCAGAGCCGCCTGAGAAGAAAAAAAATAGCAGGAGATCATAAAACAAACAAGAAAATCCCCAAAACTCACCAAAAAACTACCTGTGCAGCAAATTAAGCCATGTTGGAGTTAAAACCAGATGATATTTCACAAAAGGAAATTTTAAATTTCATTGTTTCACAAAATTAAAAAAAAAAATTATCTCGGATAAGACTGAAAATACTTCTCATAAAGATGGAAACAACTGACCTGCCACAGGCTTTTGAATCATTATATCCAATGTCACTGAGCTTTTTAAAGCTTGTTTGCTTTTCAAACCCACCCAGCTGGCCTAACTGCTGCACGACTGGCTACTTAAGACACGCGGTGGCCACAAAGCGTGCCTACGCTGATGTCTGGAAATACTTCAGCAGCTACTGTAACCAAAATCAAATGGTTTTCAAGTGTTGCAGTCAAGAGCACAACTGAAATGAGAAGCTCAGCAGCTTGCTCAGAACACTTAGTACAGGGGTGTTTGTTTATTTTGAAGAATTTTAAGCTGTAGTTGGCTTTCTTGCCTGAGTACATTTGTCTTGGTTACCTGCTGGAAGTCCCGAAGGTGGCTGAGCAGCCCATGTTTGTACTGCAGCAAAGCGAAGTGGCTCGGAGTCAGCTGCAGGAAAAACTGAGTCCGCGAAGCACTGATTACATTGGGTTGAGTGGCCAATATCCTGGGCTGGAAGGCATCGGCAAACTCCAGGTCAAGCGACTGTGAAAGGAAGACAAGATATGTATCCGTGAGAACTTTTTCTTCACGGAAACTAATACTTTCCTTTTATCAGCAGCAATATAAGTTTATGCAGAGGTTCCCCACGTCAGGATAAACAAAGCAGAAGCAAGGAGGCCAGACATCCATCCAGAAGGAACGATTAGACAGACAAAAGGTTTTCTCTCCCTTCCCTCAGTTTATGGATCACGATCCCCCGCCCAGCTCTTCAATCATCCTGCAGTTTAGCAACAGGAGAGCCCCCTCCACTGCCAGGCTCAGTCAGGAATCAAACCAGTCACACAACGAATTACGCACAACGCTCTTTCAGTGCTTCTCACCTGCAGTGGGATCTCCTTCATCTCCTGCTCGGTCTCCAAGGAGCAAACGTAGAGCGAGTGCGTGTCCACGTCCACACACACCAGCACTGCCTCCCCCACCACGCCGCACATGCCGTTTAAGCTCTTCAGCCACGGGGCTGCCACTCTGATCTGACAAGTGAGACATAAACAAAGAGACGAAGTTGCCAAGAGAGCAAAATCTTCAAAGAACCAACTTGGACAGAAGCAAGAATTTCAGTCAGAATTATTTTTACTGATAACCCTGGGAGAAACTATCTATTAGCCTGAAAATTCCAGGATGGTCTTGACTAACAGCTGCAAGTCTAATTCAGTTTTGCTTTCAGGGCATTCAGCAGCGAAATCCATTTATTGGCCTGTAGGCAATGGCACAGTGAAAGGGAAGTTTATCTGTACTACAACAACCATTAATTACTTAGCACGCCACACCCCATCTAGTTGGAAGTACATTTGTTAACATCAAATTCAATATTTTGGGTCCATAATAAAGCACTACCTGTTTTGTAATTTCTCCATCTTCTACGTTGAACGTTAAAATGTTCAAGTGGCTCTGGGGAACGACTCCAAGCACATGGATCACTCCAGTCCCATGGGAATACACCAACTGGTACTGAGTACTCTCACTGCAAGAGAGGCAGCAACCATGAAACATTGTCTTCGCTCAATACTGTTTTCAGATGTTTTCAAAAGCATAAGGCACCCTTTCCTCTCCGAGGCAATAGGCTCCCTATCAGACGTTTACACTTCTACTTAAAATATGTTTTTACCTTTCTGGTAAGTGTTCCACCCATTTCTGGTGCCCATTGGAAAGGTAGTGAAGAGAGATGGCTGCCTTCTTCAGGACGGCCACATATTTCACCACATCCTGTAGCCCCACCAAACTAGCCACCTGGAAACTAAGCACAGGTCACAAACAACAAGTTATTTATTATTTTGTAAGTTAAAAATTGTATTCTTCCAGGAAAAAACCCCCACTCTGTTTAAAGACCTTTTTCAAACACTTAACATCAGTCTTGAAGTACGATTTATAGCCCACTTTATCTATCCTTGCTGATCTCAACAGAGAGCATCAGGCTGGAATCCAAACACCCCAAACCAGATGCATGTCTAACATGTCACATATTTAAAGAGAAAGTCCATCTTAAAAAAAAAAAAAGTAGCTTCTCTTCCTCTTACCAGTTTGCTAAAAAATAGAAATAGCATTGGATTTAACTGCAAAGTTCAATCATTCATAAAGAATTCACCCAAACGTCATTTTGGAAACATTACATCTAACTAATCTTTCTTCATAACGCAATTGCAGACAAGGTCAACAACTCCTTCCTTCCTTCCCAGACTAGTGTTACAAACGGAAAAAGACCGTGCAAACATGAAAGCCTACCTGCCGGTGTCCAGCGACGTCTCCCAGTTCAACCCTCCGATGTTGGTCTCCCAGGAACGCAGAATACGTCCAGCATTGGACACAGTGATGGCATCTGCCCAGGGAATGAAGAGAAGCGGATGAACACAGAACTTCTATCTGCCACGGATCAACAAGGCAACGAGTTCTGGCAAGTTCAACCTACGGTCTAACGCACGATTGAGATCCCACGTACGAGGACAACTGCCAGCCCCAGCACACCATCCGCCTGTTCTCCTTACCCTGCCCGTGGATCAGCATCGCATCTATTGCTCCTTCGGGGGTTCCCTTGTCCACATGGCGCCACACTGAAGGAAACAGAGTTAAGTGAGAGTAAGATTTGTTCCCCTGAAGGCATTTGTTTCTTATTATTTTTAAACGTAGACTCTTTATGGCAATATACTTGTACAGAGAATAGTCTGCCTGCCCTAAGCGACAGCTTTTGAAGTGCCAGCTGAATCCTCCCAGTCTGACAGAGCAAGATCACCAGCACTAATGTATCAGTATGAAAACACAAGTGCAACACAATCGACACGTTAGCCCCCCTGCAACAACACCCCGCTTCACTCACGGATTTCGCCGCTCCTGGAGTTCAGAGCGGCCACGACATTTTTCTCGGTGGCCACGATGAGCTTCTTCGAACCCTGCGAGGCCTCCAAGGAGGCGAACTTGAGCTTCCCCACGTACTGCTGCCTCCTGGGAGAGGAAACACCAGCGGGGGGTGAGACGGGACAACGGGGCGCCTCGCTGAGGGGGCGGGCGGGGGAAGGCCCGACGGGCGGCTGCAGCAAGAAGCCTGCTTGCAGGAGGAGCACCCCGGCGCGGTG